CGAAAATACAAACTTGGAGGCAAGACCGAGGTCCGCCTAGAATCGCTAGCAAGGCTAGAAAGAAAACGACTCAAACACCAACACAAGAACCCACGACACAGACAAAATAAAACGACCCCAGCGGGGTGATGTGGAACGACCCCAAACGAGGTAATGTGGAATTACTCCAACGGAGTAATCCCTCTTACTGGGGCCAAATGACCCAAACCAAAAAACAATCCTAAACCAACACCAAATACAAGACAGAAAAAGCAACGAGCAACAACATAACAGAAAAACAAAAGACACAAACAAACCCCTAAACTATCACACCCTCCCCCGAGGAAAGACGGTCCCAGACGAGCGACAACCGGATCACAGCTCGGCCCCTAGTCAAGGAGCAGCTCCCGAAACTGCAATTAAGCCTATACAGAAACCGAATCCCTGCCCCCGAACCAAACTACGAGCCGATCTGCCACCAACCGAGAGTACAGGCAGGCGAGCCACCCCTAACCGGCACCCCCCAAACACACCTAACACCACTAGGATACTCGGGGGGCATCGAACTCAGACCAAGCCGCAACAGAGCCGAAGAGAAGGAGCAGCTCGCAGCCACATACCCTACTTCTGCAGCACCAACACATGCCACCGGAGCCCCTCCCCATCCGTTGACCACCGCCATCCCATCGCTACTACATCGGCGGACATCCCCGCACCAGAAATTCATCAGAGACGCTCCCAGAGTCCGACGTCTGCTTCAAGAGCCTGCAAACCACCGGACCCCGCTCGAGGGAGAAAGCTCGCGAATCCCACCCACCAACAGCCTTGAGCCAAGTCGCCAATCCACCAAACACAGCAGGAGATGAGAGAGAACGGCTTCAGGGACAAGCCGGGCAGTCGCGGCGACCGTCGGCCCGGCCTCGCCGATGCCGGAGGAGGTGAAAACGATCGAATTTGAGGCGGCGAAAGTTAGGGTAAAATTGGGGAAAAAAAAATCGCGAGCGAGGAAAGGGGCGTACTTAATTGAATCTATATATGTAAAAAGAGAAAAGATTTAGTAACAATAGTAACAAAAAGAATCAGCAAACATTTAATAAATGCTTTCTATGAAACTTTTAAATGTATGCATTAGTTGCATACATGTACGTTTTGAAATTAGATCAAACAGAATATGATCAAAAAGATTTTTTCAATGAAAATTTTTATTAACGTCTGCAATAATTTCATTGATATTCATTATTATAAAGTACAAATTGATTTTTCATGATTCATGTTGATAATTTAGTCAAGATAAACATGAAAACATATAAAGTTCAATACATATTGTTTTTTTTTTCTACAAATATTGACTTTTCATCTTAAATATTTATAGAAAATCGTAACAGTTTCGATAATTTTTTTTCCTCCCAATTATTCAAGCAAAATCAAGTTGATGAACTGATATTTGTCAATACTTATATATATATATATATACATATTAAATTTTATTTAATTATATAGAAAAACAAATAATTATTCAAATTAATATAAGTTACCATATAATAAATAATGACCAGATACAATAAATTATTTTCTAATCGTTAGATAATAAAGTGAAAATATGTTAACCTTTCTTTAGAATTTTCAAATGTGATTTATTTGTATATTATTATAAATCCTGATTAATTTCTTTTTATAATTATTTATATTTGATTTTCTATAATGAATTATTGTAATATATATTTTTATTGCATAATATACTAAATAAACTATGAAGACTTTTTATGCAAAATAGAAAGATCTCTTGATTGTAGAAGGGATTTATTTTTTTGCAGTTGCTAAATCAGTTGTTTAATTTATGTAAAAAAATAAATTATGATGCATAACGGCAAAAAACTTAAGGATGGCTATTAGATAAATTGGTTAATTAGCACAAATAAAACTACGATGTTTTTTTTTTTGTTTTTTTTTTTTTTT